GCTTCTTTTATATCAATAAAAACTGCAGTTGAGATCAGACTCTCATACTTTGCTATTTAAATATTATAAACAACTGAGAGAACAGTGTCAATTGCAGAACACTGTTTTCTATCTCTCATTTATTCACTGAATAAAAGAGAATCATCTATAGAGCTTATAAAAGATAGTTAAGTAGTTATTATCTTTTCTAAAACCTTTTCTAGACAGTTTAATAGAGATATTACTCTATATAACTTAGAAATTGAAGTTTTTCTATTAGATTTTGCAAGAATCACTTCAGTGACTTCTCTTCAGCATTCAGAATAATATTCATTTTTCAAGAGATTGAAAAAGAGCTTAAAATATTCATTCTTTAAGTAGGAATATGTATTTTGAATAATTAAGTGATTAATTGAATCAGGATCTGCAGCAGTTTTAACAGAACTTGAGAAGATAGCTGACTCTAATTCATCTTATGTAAGATCAGGTCATTCTCAGTCATTTTCATCAATGTAGTTGAGAAGTAATATATTCTCTTCCTCTGAATCTGAATCTGAATCTGATGAGTTCTGAAAGAGAATTCTCATAAAAGCTTAACATTTTTTCTCAAAAGAGTTTACTGTATATAATTCATTCTGAAACTCATATTCTAAGGCTGGAAGTTTTGCTACACTTCTTATTTTAGTATAGTTAAAAGCTTTAAAAACTTCCTTCTCTTATACTTCTTCAAGAAATTTATTTCAGCAGTCTATTTTAGCTCTTTTAATATCTGAGAAATATTCATTTCTGACAGCTTTGAACTCTTCATCAGATATTATATTATTCTTTCAATCTCTTCTAACAGTAGCTAATTCTTTTCTTTTAAATAAGATATTCTCATTTCATCAAGGTTTTAAATACTCAGAAGATTTTCTTTTTAAAATATTATCTTTAACACTTGTTAGAATAATAGATGTAATAAGCTTCACTCTATTCTTAAGCATTTCATTTGAGATATCTTGATCAGAATTTCAATATAGCTTATTCTGTCTTTCAGATTTTAACAGTTTTATACTTTCTTTAACTGCTTTTCAATCAGCTTTTTCAAAGTTATACTGATTAGAGAGAAGAGGATTTTCACTCATTTATTTTTCACTCAGTTTAATATTAAATTGAATAATTTCATGATCTGATTCTGATGTCTTATTTAAATTAATAAATCAGTTTACAAGTCTTCTTTTCATTAGATTTTATGATATAAAGATTAGATCTATAATAGACTTCTATTTCATATCTTTTCTAAAGAATGTTTATTAATCAGACTTATTAACTAAATCTATTAAATATTCAAAGATTTATTTAATCAGATTATCAGCTCTCACTGCTCTCTTACATTCTGAATTTCATCAGAGATGATATGCATTGAAATCTTCTATAATTATGAAGTTTCTTGATAAAGTTATATTCAGAAATTCTCTATTAATTATTCAGATATTGTTATTTTTCTTCAATGACTTTTCATTATAGATATTTATAAGCTGTATAGTATTAAACTCATTTTCTTTATCTATAATATCACTTATCAGAATATCAGGGTCAGATATGATATTAAATCTTAGATTAAATTAATATCTTAATCTCTTTCTTTCATAGATCACTACTCTTGACTTTATCTCAGACTTTTGAGATAGAAAGTAGTAGTAGCTTGAATGAGAAATAATATAATTTTACTCAGCATCAAAATTCAGTTTCTGAAGTAGTATAAAATTAACTTTTTATTCAAATACAATTTGAAGATAAGAATAAATATAATTTGAGTTTCTATTCACATTATTTTGAATAAATGTGATTTTTAAAGAGTTTTTAAACTTTTTTTGTTATTTTTATTGTATATTCATACTAAAAGAGAGTAGAGATAGAGTAGAATCTAGTCACTATTATCAGATAGTAGATTATAACTATTTTAAAAAGTAGGAATCTCAACTACTTATATTATATCTAGTTTATTATCAGAGTCATTTCTCAATTCTCTAATCTTAATAGAAGTTTAAGAATTCAAATTCTGTTTATATTTAGCTGAAGAATTGAAGTTTGAAGATTTAGATAGTTGAGAGTTTCTTCTTTTTAAGTTTACAGTTATAAGTCTACTGACTTGACTCTTCTCTTCAGTTCTAGATTGACTTTGAGCTTTATCTTTTCTTCAGTTCTTTTGAGTTCTAGAAGTAAATATACATTCTTTTGAGCTAGATGTATGTTTTTCTTTGTAATTAGAGCACTTAAGCAGAGTGTATTGACATATTTTATCTCTTTTTGAGCATATTTCATATTTATACTTACTAGTTTTATGATCTCTGACACAGAATGCACATTTTAAGTCTCTAAAATATAAGATTACAAAGTATTTATATCTTTGACAGTTTGAACACTGTGTTTGAGCTTTGAGATTCATTCTTGAGTCTTTGTATTCATGAACTCTCATTTTCAAATCTGCTACTCTTACTTCAGAGATCTTTGACTGTTCAAGTGTCTTTATATATATTAGAACAGAGATATTTCTTCTACTTTGTCTGAACTCAATTGAATTTAGTTATACAGACTCTTTTCTCAGTTGAATAGAGTTGTATTCTTCTAATTCATTTTTAAGAAGTAGTATTTCTTCTTCACAGTCAAAAATTTCAATTGAAATATTATAAAGAATGAATTTATCTCACTTTTCATCTCTCTTAGATAGAATTATTATGTTTAACAAAGATTCTACTGCTGATTTTCAGAGATTCTCATTCTAAATAAGGAATTCTGCACTGAATTCAGGCATTGTAGTCAGAATAATAGAGTTTTCAAAGAAGAATGACTCAATTGAAGCTATAACTGATTTTTGAACTTTAATATCAGTTATTAACTGAGAAAAGAACTGCTGATTAATTTCATTTCTGATTCTGAAAATGAGATTTGAGTTTAGCTTGTTTTTTTACAAGATATTCTGATTTAAGACTTTGAGAATAAGTCTTCTATTTCTAGAGATTTGAAGATTTTTCTTCTTTTACATTTTTTTCTTCACTTTTCTATGAATAGAAGTATGAGTATTATTCTTCTCAGTTTTCTCAGGATTTTGAGCATGTTTTGAGATAGTAGATTTAGAGATAGCAGATTCAGCTGCTTGAGCATATGTTTTCTTCTGATTCAAAGAAGAAGAAGAAGTAGAAAAAGAGAAAGAAGAACAAGATAAGAAGTCAGTGATTATACTAGAAATTTTCAATGTTTTTTGAACTGTGTTTGAAATTCCAAGTTTGAACTTGATCATCTTCTGTGATTGTCTAGTCTGAGCATGAAGAATTAACAGAACTTCTTCATTCATCTCACTCAGACACTGCTTTTCAAGAATCTTGCTTACTTTTTCAAGTTTCTGTATTTCAAGAACTTGTTATTTCTCTATTTCTTCTTTCTTTCTTCTCTTCAGAATTTCAATCTCAGAAATAGCATTTGAGAAAGCATCTTTTTTTACATCAACTGAGTGTATTTTTGAACTCATTATTCTCACTCAATGAAAAGTTGATCAGACTATTTCAATTGAGATATATATTGAACTCTTTTGAAAAGTTGATCAGACTGTTTTAATTAAGAGGTTTCTAAGTCTGTTTTCAATTGAAAAGTTGATTAGACTGTTTCAAAAGAAGAATAAAAGACTTTTATGTATAAAACACCTGATTTTTTTCACACTAGTTCAGTAACTAGATTAGATTTTTGAAGAGAATCTAATAAACTAAAATTGATTTTTAAGATAAATTAATAAAATCTTTACAATCTCTTTCTTGAGATACAGTGAGAAAAAGTATGATATCAATTGATAGTAAATCAGATAATATGACAGTTTTTAAGAGAAAAACTGATAAAAAATAAATTAATTTTTTACAGAGAAATTGATTAAAACTATTCAATTTTATTCTAAATCATTCAATTCTTCTCACACAACAAGTGTGCAACTCAAATCAGTTAATAAAGAGTGTAAAAAAGAATTAAGTATTAATGAAAGCTCTTCAGTCACTGAAAAAGTAATTCTTACTTAAAAGAATATGAAATTATGACAGAAAACAGCTCTATTTTTAATTCTTTATAAGAATATTGTATAAAATTCAGAGAAAAACATCTTACTTTTTCAAGAGAAGTAAAAAACTATTTCTAAGATCTTTTTTTTGCATTAACTGCTGCAGAAGAATGAGATAGAAACTGCTAAGATATGCACTATTATATACTCTCTATCAAGACTTTCTCTCTTCAGAGTCTTGATATTATAGAGAATATAAGTCTGTTTCTATATAATAATATAAATATTGTCAGTGAGATGTAGAGGAACTGGTTATTTATATCTCAAAATAGAAGACTTTGTCAATGATTATATCAATATAGAGTTAATTCTCAAATTTAATAGAAATCTAGTATTGCTGTTCTCAATCCCTTACAGAATCTATTAAATATTGAGATATTAAAACTAGATTTAATATATCTCACTGTGCAGGGATCAAAGGCTCAGTCAGATCTTAAAGTATACTGAATTTATAGTTGTTGATGTACTGTTAACTTGTTCTGTTGACTTATTATCTGCTGATTATATATCAAATACTGTTACTGAGATATCTTTTTGTATTATTCTGTCAGAGATGAGCCAGATTGAGAGAGGTAGTATGAGGGTGAGACTTGGTGTTGATGTCTAGATACACTGAAGACAGATCACAGAGATTGCACTTCAGAAGTGTTCATTGATTATGTGCTTGATATTATCACTGAGGTATCTTTTTGTATTTTTCTGCCAGGGATGGGCCAGATTGAGAAGGGTGGTACAAGGGTGGGACTTGGCATTAGTGTTTTGAAACATCAAAGATGGACAGGGTTTTCACAGATATTACTTCTCAGATATCTTCACAATTACAGATCAGAGATCTTTCAAAATCAAGAAGATTGATGCATATGACTAGGTCTTTTCATCTTACAATTTGTATGGCAATTTGGCCCGGGGTTGTGGTGTGATAGGGGAGAACAGGGGATAATCCCACACAGGAGTTTCAAACAACATCTGGTTCATGTTTGGCTGGATAACTCCACCACCACACGGGGTATGCGGTCGGCGATGGGGTCAAAATGCTTGTATGATCGAGGGCTTTTCGATGGATCTATCGGCGGGTTCTTATTCGAAAAATCGAGCGAGTTCGTGATGGAGCGGATGATCTTGATTTCATAGTTGATATAGATCTTATTATGTAGAAACTTCATCATCATCTTCTCTATCATCTTTGAAACTGCTTTCATGACTGGCCAGTCAGTAGCATAGTCAATAGCAGTGATTATTCAACAATTCTCATTTGATGTTTATAATACTATGTCTATGAGATTCACTTCTCATTATTTAAACAGTTGTATTATATATTTCATCTGATATTATACTTTCTCATTTTCTTAGATTCTTTTGTGACCTGATAATTCAGGCACTTGTGAGTGTATGTCTGAATGTTTTCAGCTATGCTTGATCAGTACACTCTTGATTCAAGTACACTTATGAGTTCAGAGCTTTCTAAGTGACTGAATTCCTTGTGCATGTAAGTTATTAAGTCATGTCTAAATAAATGTTTCAGATGAAGAGCTTTTGCATATTCTAGATCATGATAAAGTATAACATCATTTTTCAATTTTCTCAGCTTGAAGTTTAGAAGCATCTCTTCTATCACTTTCATAAGATACTTATCATTCAATATCTTGCTGTTCTTTAAGTGAGAGATTATTATATTCACTCATTCTGATTCCTTGCATTCTCTCAGTGTGTTTAATATGAACTTTTCTTATATCTGATTTACAGAATTCTCACTCATGAAATCAGGTCTGTGACTGATTGCATCAGACATCACAGTGTTTAATCTCTTTCAGTATTTGATATAAAGATTATACACTTGAAACTCTGAGATTCAACATACTAAGCATTTGAAAGATTTTATTATCAATTGTAGATAGATAAGACTTTCATGATCTGTAATCACTGTTGTTGTATATCTGTTATCAATATATCTATTTCACAATGCCAGCATGTGCTTGATTACTAGCAATTTCTTTTCATACACTGAATAATTGAGCTCAGTGTCTGATAGTTTTCTATCATTATATATTATCAGATGCAGCTTGCTGTTCTTACTCATCTGTAGAAGAGTATCTCTGATAGCTTATTCAGATGCATTCATTTCAATGTAGAAAGATTTATTATAATCTGATTGAATAAGCACTGAGAATATTATCATACATTCTCTCTGTATGAGAAAGACCTCTTTGCATGTAGTATTTCAGATAATTAAATGAAACTTCTTCTTTCACAGATTTATATCTATCTCTCTTAAGAGATCTGAGAGTGATACAGCTATATATGTGAAATCTTTGATGAACCTGCAGTAGTATGAGATCAACTTAAGAAATTATTGTATATAATGTACATTTCTCAGCTGCAGCTAATTCACTATAACATTCAATTTCTTCAGAATAAGATATATACAGTCATCACTCACTCACTTCTGCTGCAGACAATTTTTAACTCAAGAACAGCATAACATCACAGAGTAAAGAGAATCACAAAAAAAACAACTGCTTCATCATGAACTCGCTCGATTTTTTGAATAAGAACCCGCTGATAGATTCATTGAAAAGCCCTCGATCATACAAGCATTTTGACCCCATCGCCGACCGCATACCCCGTGTGGTGGTGGAGTTATCCAGTCAAACATGAACCAGATGTTGTTTGAAACTCCTGTGTGGGATTATCCCCTGTTCTTCCCTATCACACCACAACCCCGGGCAAAATTGCCATACAAATTGTAAGATGAAAAGACCTAGTCATATGCATCAATCTTCTTGATTTTGGAAGATCTCTGATCTGTAATTGTGAAGATATCTGAGAAGTAATATCTGTGAAAACTCTGTTCATCTTTGATGTTTCAAAACATCAATGCCAAGTCTCATTCTTGTACTACTCTTCTCAATCTGGCTCATTCTCAGCAGAAAAATACAAAAAGATATCTCAGTAATAATATTAAGTATATAATCAATGAACACTTCTGAAGTGCAATCTCTGTAAATACTCTGTCTGTCTTCAGTGTATCTAGACATTAATACTAAGTCTTATTCTTATATCACCTCTCTCAATCTGGCTCATTTCTGACAGAATAATATAAAAAGATATCTTGACAACAGTACTTAATACATAACTGATGAATAATGAGTCAATAGAATAAGTTAACAGTATATTAATAACTATAAATTCAGTATACTTCAAGATCTGACTGAGTCTTTAATCTCTGCACAGTGAGATATATTAAATCTAGTTTTAATATCTCAATATTTAATAGATTCTGTAAGAGATTGAGAACAGCAATACTAGATTTCTATTGAATTTAAGAATTAACTCTATATTGATATAATTATTAACAAAGTCTTCTATTTTAAGATATAAATAATCAGTTCCTCTACATCTCACTGATAATATGTATATTATTATATAGAAACAGACTTATATTCTCTATAATATCAAGACTCTGAAGAGAAAAAGTCTTGATAGAGAATATACAGTAGTGTATATCTTAGTAGTTTCTATCTCATTCTTCTGCAGCAGTTAATGTAAAAAAAAAAAGATCTTAAAAAAATAGTTTTTTACTTCTCTTGAAAAAGTAAGATATTTTTCTCTGAATTTTATATAATATTCTTATAAAGAATTAAAAACAGAGTTATTTTCTATCATAATTTCATATTCTTTTAAGTAAGAATTACTTTTTCAGTAACTGAAGAGCTTTCATTAATACTTAATTCTCTTTTACACTCTTTTTTAACTGATTTGAGTTGTATACTTGTTGTGTGAGAAGAATTGAATAATTTAGAATAAAATTGAATAGTTTTAATCAATTTCTCTGCAAAAAATTGACTTATTTTTTATCAGTTTTTCTCTTAAAAACTGTCATATTATCTGATTTATTATTAATTGATATCATACTTTTTCTCTCTGTATTTCAAGAAAGAGTTTATAAAGATTTTATTGATTTATCTTAAAAATTAATTTTAGTTTATTAGATTCTCTTCAAAAATCTAATCTAGTTACTGAACTAGTGTGAAAAAAATCAGATATTTTATATATAAAAGTCTTTCATTCTTCTTTTGAAACAGTCTGATCAACTTTTCAATTGAAAATAGACTAAGAAATCTCTCAACTGAAACAGTCTGATCAACTTTTCATTTGAAAATAGATTAATAAATCTCTCAATTGAAACAGTCTGATTAACTTTTCATTTGAAAATAGACTGATAAATCTCTCAATTGAAACAGTCTGATCAAGTTTTCATTTAGTGAGTAAAATGAGTTCAAGAGTATACTCAGTTAATGTGAAAAAAGATGTTTTTCCAGATGCTGTTTCTGAGATTGAAATTCTAAAGAGAAGAAAGAAGAAAGAAATAGAGAAATAATAAGTTCTTGAAATACAGAAACTGAAAAAAGTAAGTAAAATTCTTGAAAAACAGTGTCTGAGTGAGAAGAATGAAGAAGTTTTATTAATTCTTCATACTCAGACTAGACAACTACAAGAAGTGATTAAGTTCAAACTTAGAATTTCAAACATAATTTAAAAAACATTGAAATCTTCTAGTACAGTCACTGACTCTTTTTCATCTTTCACTTCTTCATCTTCTTCTTCAAATCAGAAGAAAATATATACTCAAGTAGCAGAATCTACTGTCTCTAAATCTGCTAGTTTAAAATCTGTTTAAAATTCTGAGAAAACTGAGAAGAATATTACTCAGATCTCTGTTCATAGAAAGAAAAAAAAGAAATATAAAAAGAGAAGAACTTTCAAATCTTCAGAAATAGAAGACTTATTCTTAAAGTCTCAAATCAGAAGATCTTATAAAAAAACAAGTTAAACTCAAATCTTATTTTCAGAATTAGAAATGAAATTAATCAGTAGTTCTTTTCTCAGTTAATAACTGATATTAAAGTTCAAAAATCAGTTATAGCTTCAATTGAGTTATCTTTCTTTGAAAATTCTATTATTTTAACTATAATGTCTGAATTTAGTGCAGAATTTCTTATTCAGAATGAGAATCTCTGAAAATCAGTAATAGAATCTCTACTGAATATAATAATTCTATCTGAGACAGATAAAAAGTGAGATAAATTCATTCTTTATAATATTTCAGTTGAAATTTTTGACTGTGAGAAAGAAATACTACTTCTTAAAAATAAATTAGAAGAATACAATTCTATTCAACTGAGAAAAGAGTCTATATAACTTAATTCAATTAAGTTCAGACAGAGCAGAAGAAATGTCTCTGTTCTAGTATATATAAAGATACTTAAATAATCAAGAATCTCTGAAGTAAGAGTAGCAGATTTGAAAATAAGAGTTTATAAATACAAAGACTCAAGAATGAATCTCAAAGCTTAAACACAGTGTTTAAACTGTCAAAGATATGAATACTTTATAATCTCTTATTTTAGAGACTTAAAATGCATATTCTGTGCTAGAGATTACAAAACTAGTGAGTATAAATATGAAATATGCTTAAAAAGAGATGAAATATGTTAATATACTCTGCTTAAGTGCTTCAATTGTAAAGAAAAACATGTATTTAGCTTAAAAGAATATATATTTACTTCAAGAACTTAGAAGAACTGAAGAAAAGATGAAGCTTAAAATGAATCTAAAACTGAAGAGAAAAGTTAAGCTAGTAAATCTATAACTATAAGCTTAAAAAGAAGAAACTCTCAACTATCTAGATCTTCAAACTTCAATTCTTCAGCTAAATATAAACAGAATTTGAATTCTTAAATATCTATTAAGATTAGAGAATTGAGAAATGACTTTAATAATAAACTAAATAAAATACAAGCAGTTGAGATTCCTGCTTTTCAAAATAATTATAATCTACTATCTGATAATAATGATTAGATTCTACTCTATCTTCACTCTCTTTTAGTATGAATGTACAACAAAAATAATAAAAAAAGTTTAAAAACTCTTTAAAAATCATATTTATTCAAAACAATGTAAATAAAAACTTAAATTATATTTATTCTTATCTTTAGATTGTATTTAAATAAAAAGTTAACTTTATACTTCTTTAAGAATCAAACTTTGATACTGAGTAAAAGTATATCATTTCTTATTCAAGCTATTACTACTTTCTTTCTGAAAAATCTGAGATAAAATCAAGAGTAGTGATCTATGAAAGAAAAAGATCAAGATATTAATTTAATCTAAGATTTAATAT